CATTTGAAAATTACTTATTAATATTTTGCGCATATTTAGTTATATAAACCCGAATTTTAACTTTTTTTCGACAATTTTATCATAATCTTTACTTGTTTCTAAAGAAACAATATGTTTACTTCATCAACTACTGCTAACAATCCAGTCGTAACAATTATGCAACGTCAATTACTTACTTTAGGAAGGTTTTTTTTTCATTGTATATCAAATGATAAAAATTTTATTTAAATAACTTATAATAAAATTATCTGATCTTTTTGATGATAATGATCCTGGTTATAAAGTATAAACTTGCCATATTATAGGGAGTTGATTGGCGCTTTACCCGGGGTGTACGAAATTTTATATTATAAACGAAGGGTTTTAAAAACTTGCCCTATAAATAATTTTATCCGTTATTTCTGTAAAAATTCCGTAAAAATGCGCCTTTCACGGATCCATTCACGGAAAATGTAAATAATTCGATAAATTCCGCGATATAAGGTTATTAATTCCGGAAATATGAGCCTTTTACAGAAAAAAGATAGAATATAAAAAACGGATTGACTTTTTTTACAGGGTTGTATATACAAAAAATTATTTGCATGTGTCGCCTGGGTAAATAGTAAAATTAAAAGAAAATGAAGAATTTCTTCAAAATACTATACGATCATGAATTCTTTTATCTACATCATACATCGAATTATTATGTAAGGTGTAAATTATTAACTCGTTATATAATTTAAATTTGTTGAATCAAATACCATTACCTTTTTTTTTGTTATAGGGATGCTTAATTTCGGGTAATTTTTTAATTTATTGTTTAAACTATTGTACATCAAGATACATGTAATAACGATTCCGATGATTTTTTGAATGATCAGCTTGTACAAGTAGATATGATCAATATTCTTGATAAAGAATAGTTTAGTAAATCACGTAGTATTTAAATAGGACCCAGAAATATATAAACAGGGATAGGGTACACAAATGCGTCGCCATTATAGTGGAATTAGATGGAGTAAAGTTTTGATTTGCGTACAATCTAAGAATTTTTCATCCTTCAAAAAAAGACTAAAGGACGAAAATCGAAAGACAGACGAAAAAGAAATTGGGGAGAAACGACCGATTTTGGAGTCGCCACCACCGAGAGAATCGAAGAAGAAGTTACAAAGAAAGTGAGGAAAGAGAATAAATAGAGACGAGGAGGAGTAAATAGATGGTCTTTTGCGTCTTAAATATCGAAGTCACGTGATCTCACGTTAAAAATTTTCCGATAAAAAATGAAAAAAAAGATGCAAGTAGATATTACTATTTGTTTTTTTTTTTTTTTATAGGGCGAATTTGTTGGAGGTAAATAGTTGGGATATTTGTAACTGGGACGTGGGGCTGCTGGGCGCTATCTGAATATTCAGCATTAGTTTCAGTCATTATAACAAATTTTATTTCCTAAATTTTTTCCCTGCAAAATATGTACAGTACGGGTACTACAAGTAATGCAATCATACAAAGCAATAATTTTTGGGTAGACTTGTTTGTTAATTTGTTAATTTTTTTACGAGTTTGTTTATTTTCTATTTATTTTTTATTTTTTGCGTTTATAGACTAAATCGGTTAGTTATAGAGGGTAGTATGATTTATTCATATTATTTTCTAGGTGTTTGTATAATTATATATGGTTATAATTAATAAACGCGTTACTTACTAAAAAAATAAAAAAAAAAAAGAATTTTTCATCCACATCCATAGTCTCTGCGTACAGCTTATAGTAAAAAAATTTTTCGCCACCTGACCTCATAAAATTAACTAACATAAAATTACCGACACCATCTTGCTGACTTCCATTTTACCGACATGAAAAATTATCTAATTTCATTTCATTAAAATACCATTTTACCGACATGAAAATTACTCGACTTGAAATTTCATTGAAAATCGTTTAAATAAATTCATCAGTTAGGTACGCCTCGCTCCTTACTACGTCTTAATTTTAAATTATAAGTTTACTGCTGTTAAAACAGATTATATATAGACTTATTTATTTTCAAATTGCAACAATAAAATTATTAAATAAACATTATCCAATTTTCAGTAGCTCCAAAATTTGTAAAAGAAAAAATTAGTAATCTGGCTTCACATGATAAATAATTATTACTTATTCGATGAACGTTCTTTAGTGATTAGAATTTAGAAAGCGATAAATATAAAATAAAATATTTTTTTAAATTATATATATATCGATACTACGTTGATCATGTTGGCAAGTACTTTTTTCCGACGATCTTTGCGATCAAAAATTCTTTGGTCAGAAAGGAAAATATTGAAATACTAAACGAAAATCATTCACGTAAATTTAATTTTGAGTCCATTATATTTCTATTTTGATGCTCAAAAGGCAAAATGGTGATTCGCTGGATGAAATGGCAAGTCGGCAAAGTGAAGTCAGTTAATTTTATGTCGGTAAAATAGGTGCATACCTCTACATTTGTAGGTGAATTAGAACTTTAGACAAATTTTGATTCAATTACTAAAAAATTAACATTTACATTAATCTAAGAAATTTCTTTAAATGAAAAGATAAATACACAACAGCTAGTTTCTGGTTTGTTTAACAGTTAAGAGGGTTTTTGTTTTTCAGTTTCAACAACAGCTTCAACAAAAGATGTATGTATTTTAATTTATTTTGCGTTAAAACATCAATTCCTACTAAATTAGTTTTGACTCTAACGCTGACTAATATTTCGTAATTGCACGTTACAATCGGTAAATTTTTATAATATTTATTTCAAAAAAATATATATTACATTTTATAATTTTTTATTTATAATTTTCTTATAAATGATTGTATGATATATATTTATTCTGCTTAGCCAATTCATTCCGATCTGAATGATAAACCATTACTAGGAAACAGAAACCGGTATAAGTCCGGAGCGAAAAATTTTATATAAAATTTTTTTTTTTTTTTTTAAACATTATCTTTTGTACTTTTTCCAATTATCTGTATTTATGACTAATTTTATTTAAATAAATAAGTTTTAAACCATGTAATTTACAAGTAGCTTAAAAATATTTTATTGATTTATTTAATTGCGCGCATTTTTCTTATTACAGTAAATCAAGATTAGCTAAACAAAATAAAAAAATTTTTGTTTTAAACTAACAAATAAAATAAAGTTGAAACATTAGAAATATTTCTTTAAAGTCAAACAAATAAAAAAACCGTCCTCTTCCCAATTTATCTTTAAAGTCAGGTATGTACTACAAAGAAATACGGAAACCCTAGAAAAAAATAAGAAATAGATCGTCAGAAACATTTCTTTGAAGTCGAAAATAGGTTAGGACGGAGCGGGAAAGGTACAAACTTTTTTTTAAAATCAAATCTTCAATATGGTTAAGATTTAGAAGAAGTTTCGAGGAACATCATTAATGACAAGAGGACCAGCTGATAGAAAATGAAATATTTCCATATCATTTATATTTATATCCTTCAGTGATTAATTTTGTAAAAATCGGTAAAGTAAATTACTAACCCAAGGACAACGTAACTTTCTTTGAAAGCCCGAATTCTATCAAAATCAATTTGATTTACATTATGTTGGATCTTAAGTAATGCATTAATAGACGCTGTACAAAATATCTAGAAATTAAGGCATTTCTTGCGAGCAATGCCTGAACAACGTCAAGCGTTAAAAAATCATTTTCAAGCCTAACGCCATGAAACAAACGACCATATTTTTATATTAACCATTCCCCACAAACATGAGGATCTTGCGAGACAGCATACCATTTGCGATCTGTAAGAATAAGTGAAATAGTGTATCTATAAATTTAAATATTTCACTTATAACTTCATAAAGTAGAGACTGCATGGCAAAAAAGGGAAAACATTCCCCTAAAAGTATTAGTATATATTGGAATTCATTATGTCACACACAAAGTTTTTGTGCGGCTGTGCAAACTTGAACCTGACCTTTTTATATATATTTCGGGGTCCTGGTGCATGGTATGCGCCGAACGCGATGGTTTATTTTTTGTCTGTTTGTATGTACCATATGAATAATGAAGATATTCTTTTTACCCCCAAAAAAATAAAATAAAATAAAATAATCACTGAATCGTAGGCCATTAGAAGCAAATAAAATAATTTCTAGGTTTCTATTTTTAATATTATGCGTTTATTTTTCATATAAAAAAAACTTTTTTATTTACTTTGTTTTACAATATAAATATATAAAATAAATATTTTGTTAAATTTCAAAGACTTAGAGTTTATTATTTTTATTTTTACAAGAAAAAAATGCGGTTAACGCACACAACTTCTATTGAGGTGATGGAAAATTGGTAAACTATTTTTATCACGGTACGGAATTACTGTTGGTTTAAATCGTATAGACTGCTTGAAAATGAGTTGTATATGAGTGGAACGTAAAGATATTGCAAAGGTGAATTTGAAATTACAAGGTTTGTAAACTTTTTAATTTATTGCTATGCTAATTTTGTCGGTATTCATTTGTGGGTTTTGCGTTATATGTGATGTCATAATGAATAAAAACTCTTTGACCCAAACAATCATGGTAAATTCAGTTTTAATAACCATAAAATGTATGTAAAAACGAAATCTTAAATTTAGGAATTTTATTTTTATATCATAATATACTTAAAGTATATTCTTATGATTATATATATTTTCCTATATATTAATTGCTCTTAAAAGTCTTAAAAGATTTCGAATCTAGTAAAGTTAGTAAAGTAAATCTAAAATTTAAATACTACGTGATTTATCATATTAGGCGAAGTTTCAAATAATTGTTTCCTACTAAGTGGATGATATGGGGAGAAAATAAAAGTAAAGATGTTGTAAAAGGTATGAAATATTAAAATTCTTACAAGAGTATAATTTGTTACGTGAAATCTATTTAGTAAGTTTGATATAATGGCTAAGTAAACGGTCTGGAACTAAAAATCAAATGGACAATAAAAGGGTAATAACGCACGCACTTTTCTCAAAATTTGCTAATCTAAATTATAATTTCATCGGTTCCTCGTGAAACGCGTAAATAAAGCTTTACAAGCAAGCTTTCTTCAAGACTTAATTTTTGTTGTGGAGATAATGGTATTTCATTATTTTGTGTGTTCATATCAAACTCTTCATGATTCAATAAATCTTCAATTATTGAATGAGTTAACAACTTACATCTGACATAATAATTCGCTGTATGATATGAATAAATAAATTCGTGGTCGTAGATAAGTTTATAGTCAGGATCATTGTCATCAAAAAAATTAGAATTTTCTTGAATAATTTTATAAGTTATTAAGAAATGATTTTTATCGTTTGGTGTAATATGAAAAAACCTTCCTTTAATAAATAGCTGACTTTGCATAATTGCTGCGGCTGGTTTATTAACAGAAGCAGACATGTTTTTTTAGAAGAAAATTATTTTGTAATTTAAATAAATGAAAAGATTATGATATAATTGAAGTCAAAATTCGGAGTTTATATATCATCCGCCTCTGCGTCAGTTCTTGTCAGTTCTTAAGCAGCGTTGTACAATGTACATAAAATCGTGCAGCAATTTGGCGTGCACATCATGAAAATCTTTCCTTATTATTAATCTTTTGCTGTTTTTATGCAGTTCTATGATTATTTTATTGTGAGCAATTACTGTATGTCTATTTTTAACTTGTCCAATTTTTATTGGTCATAAATGCAGCAAATTTGGTTGAAAGGTATTACCTTTTTTGGATGCTGACCGAAATTATCATAATTCCGACTAGTGCTCCTACCGGGTCAGATTCGGTCGGGTTTGGAGAATATATCCGACTCGACCCAGCAAAAATAGAAATGATCCGATTTTAACCCGACCCGAGTATATTTAATTCGAATAACCCGGGTTAGACCCAAAATTTTCATTGGATAATATACTGTATGCTTAGTAATATATCAAAAATATTTTTTCAAATATAATTTTTTCAATAACGCAAGGTAATTGATCTACAAGATGATCATATAGGTCACACAACTTTTTGTTATTAAAACTAAAGCTAAGCACGAATTTAAAGATATCTTAAATTTTTGTTTATTTATTGCTTTATATTTGAACTATAAAATCGAAATTATATCACTTGTTTTAACAGAAATTTGACTATACTTTACGTCTGCCAGGACTTTAAACACATGCATGCTATAATTGTATCTGCTTTAAGATTACATCTTTTTGCAGCTATCAAATCTGTTCCACCTGAAACTACTGGAATGCTGGTTGCTTTATTAATCATCAAAATCAACTTATTAGTTAATGTAATGTTAATAATTAAAATAATAATTCATACACATACCCGTAATTGCAAGGTGTCTCTAGCAATTTTCGCTAAGTGAGCATATACTACCTCATTCATCTAACAAAATTATATAAACATAATCAATATTAACGCGTAATTGATATGTGATTAGTGATTTTAATGATCATCCGGGTCTAATTCGGGTCAAAACTCGAGTCAAGGAAATGAATGACCCGACCCGACGGGTCGGGTCATGCGGGTCACAGGTTATTAAAATTGTTAATACCGACCCGATTTAAAATTCACTCGGGTTGAATTATCCAGGTTAGACCCGAATTTTGCGGAGCACTAATTCTGACCCTAAAAAAAATGCGTACAGCTAATAGTAATTTTTTTGGCCGCCACCTTACCTCTGTGCCAGATTACTCCTTATGTCCAGTATCGATCTTTTCATACACTCTTTGGCGCCTTTAGTAACCACCCTACCGAACGAAGACACTGACTGTAGATAAATCCCTCCAGATAGATCTTTTTCCCCGTAGTTTGTATCCGCTTACAGTTTCAGGTTCACCACCGATAAGGCGATAAGGCCGGGTAAAAAAATTTTTAGATTCTCATGACATAAAATTTTAAAAATGACCGGCATTTTTTTTTATATATGTAAAATTTTTTTACGCACATTGGCCAAAAACAAAATCACGTGATAAAAAATTTTTTACTATAAAAAAAAAATTTCTATTTTTCGAAAAACTGACCTGGCCGGGTCACAAGAATCTAAATTTTATTTTGCCTGGCCTAACCTATATTATCCCCATTTACACGATTATGCAAATGTAGTTATACCTACTGGGTAGCAAATTTGAAAATTTGTATAATTGAGAAAAAAATTCTTTTTATTTATATGTAATCTCAATATTATTTTTCAAGTGTAATAGTAATAATTCCGAAGCTTTTTAAAAATTTATTTTTTAAAATCTTTTAAAATGAAAAAAACTAAGCGAAAGAAAATAAGATTCAACAATAAAAATACTATATTATACTCACGATATATTATAAAACACTTACTATTGTGTAAATGGCAGGGGATAAATCAATTATCTTCTGGTTAATTGGAATAGTAAAATTTTACTTATTCCTAATTAGCCAGGAGATAAGTAATACATACAACCCTTTTTGCTTTACAAATAAATAAAATGAATATTACTAAATTGAATAAAATGAATAAACCGGCTAAACTGGATAAAAAGAAAATGAATGGTATAAACAAAACAAAACTAATGAATAATGTAAACAAGAAAATAATGTGTATAAGCATTCTTATCGTTGTCATTGTACTTTTAATGACATTTTTTGTGGTAAATTCAAAAAAGTCATATGTGCATCTTTTTTGCAATCGGTTCAGTTTATATATGTAATACGTTTTGTTTATTCTTATGTGGGCTCAATTAGCAAGATGAAGCTAAATGGAACTCCCTAAATCGTCTGGTTGTAAAAATGTCATTATCGTTAATTGATTTTATTAAAATTATTATTAATTCGTATATTATTTGAACAGCTTAAAATACTCATTCCCAATATGCCATATGTAAATAATAGAATATTTCTTTTAGTTTTCCTCAAATTTTTTTTTTTTTTTTTTAGATATTTTTCAAATTTAGTTACCTCATAATCCAGTTCATAACCCAGTTCATAATCCAGTTCATAATTCAGTTCATAATTCGATTCATAATCCAGTTGAACAATTTACAAATAGTACAACTAACTTTTTCAGGGATATAAGTTTAGCAGAAATTCCTGATTAGAAAAAAATTTTTTTCTTTTCTTTGCTTATCATATTTGCATACTGATTTGTTATTTTGAGAAAATAGCATCAGGGGACCAGCTCACAAGATCACTAGAAAAGTAGCTGCAAATCACCTTTTGAATTACTCCGAATTACTTTACGATGCTGGAGACACTTTACGTGAAATGTTTGTCGGTAGAAAGTAAAACGGTTCATAACACTTTCGAAATTGAAGTCAAATCCATGATCAGATCTTATCATATTTTTATGAATTTCAATTTCTTCAAACTACATATATTAAAATTGGAGAAGGCCGATTCCTTCAAAATACGTATATTAAAATTGGAGAATGCCATAATGAAATTTAGAACTATTGTCGATAATGCTATGCAGCTGATCATTGAGAAACCACTTTAGATTTCTGTTGAACCTCTAAGTCTTTTAGAAGCTCAAGTAGAAGCCAGTGATTACAATACCGGTAAAAGGAATTTTGATTTAACTGCTGAAGTTATCAATAGTATAAAGGATATGAGAGAATATCTTAATGAGACGGCAGAATGTTTGAGAAAAGTTCGCAGCAAATTAAAAGATTATGAATTAAACATGAATAAAGTTAAAGCAAATCTAGGTAAAGCCGAATACGAGATAACCAATGAATCACTCCAACATTTAAAGCTGCTGTAGATCTTTGGAGAGATAGTCAGACTAAATTTTTTAATAAACAAAAGAAGCGTGTTATTGATGGTTAAATTTGAATCATATATTTAGTTTGTGATACGTATCTCTTTTGTGATGCGTATTTCTTTTTTTTTATTTGTAGTTTTATACTTTTATTCGTAAGAATACTTTTTCTATAACAAATGATAGAAATAGGATTATGAAAGTTAAGAATTTTACTAGATATTTCTCTTTTGTCTTTCGATTATGTAATTTTGAAATAAAGCGAGTATTGAGTAATTATATTTAAGAAAATTTTCTCTTGGATAAAATAAATCACTGCTACATATCGTTTATTACGTGTAATAAAAATTTCGTCGTTACCCTACCAATAAGAAAAGAGAGGGAAAAAAATGAGAAATATATGTATATTTCAATAACAAATAAAAATATTTGATGTCTCGATCAGGACCTCCATATAAAATACCCATCCAATATATTAAATATGTAGTATATGAATTTTATTTAACATCATATTCAACAACTATTATAAATAAATTAAAATTTTTCATTTATTAATTCTTTTAGAAATGAGTTATATCCCGAGACTAAATCAGTTTTAAATCGGTATGAGTTTGAACGGATATTAATAATTTGGATCATTCATATGGTATTTAGCCAATGATCTATAATGATAAAGTTTAATAATTTACTTTCATGATGTTGCAAGTATCGATCATTAAGTTGCAAATTTTTGATGTAATTATATTTTTGTATTACATCATATGGCTGATTCATTTGTACGAATGGTAAAATGCTGAAATTCCCGATTTCTTTTTCGTATTTGTAGTATTAAGTAATGTGGTACTGTATGTCCGGTCTTATGGTAGTACGTAAAAAAATTAAAACTTGAAACGCACAAGCGCATGTATACCAAGTCTATAATTATAAAGTATGTAAAAAGTTTAAATGTCTAAGGCATTATTACATAAAGAGTTTTGAGACTAGTACGGGAAAAAGTCATTTACAAAGTCACGTTAATCACGTGGCAATGTGACGCCACTGATGTTGCCGCCAAATGCGCACCTAAATTCTAGTTATTATAAGAAAGTGAGTTTATTGATTTTGTGAGATTGAGGTTGCGGTTTGCCAAAGAAATTGTTAATTCATAGATCTTCCCGATAAAAATATACCCACGTAGTCACGTACAATATATTATAATACTACATTGCTTTATATAGTACTTCATGACTAATTTTGTATTTGTAATTTTTCCTTGTGATAAATCACAGTGAATAAAAGCCTCAAATATAAATAATAAGGTTCAATTGCGTGAAATAAATAAAACATAATCTCGAATCCCCAGTAAATAGTTTTTGTATAAATTTGTACCAAATGCAATCATCCATATATAATTGGCTCTAGATTGGCTTAAATTTGGCTTTTTTTTTTGCATAAATTTGAGCTAATTTCGAGCCAATGAGCCCGTTTGGTATAAATTTATACATAAACTATTTGCTGGGATCAAAATATTGTGTTTTGAGTTTGCTTTCCATTAAAGACAGTTTTTGGAATTGATCTGCCAAATAAGTAGTAGCTCCTTAAATATCATATGAAAAATCAATCACTTTTACAAAACCTAAACGTGTTTTTATGTAAAATTGTAAATATTCGTTCGACATAAATTATTTTTAGAAACAAAACATGTGAAATATTTTTTTGAAAAGTTCTTATTATATGATTATGTTATATTCTCATTATTAGACCATTAATACCTAATCGATAATTAAATTTGAATATATAATTAATATATTTTGCAATATCTTCACGTTTATTATCTATTGGTACTCTCTCATATACAACTAACTCATCCTCAGGCAGCTTATACCATTTAAATTAAGTAATATGGTAAATTTTTTTGAAATTATCTTATTTATCTCGAATGGCCTATAATTTATGTGGCAAAGCATATTAATATTATGCATCACAGATCGTCACCTTATTTAGAGTATGATTTTGCTTTAGTCAAAAAAAAAAAAAAAAAATCTTTAAACATTGGGCATGTAGTAAAAATATCCTACATACTGTATAATATAAATAATCGCTCTAATAATACTGAAAACTATTTATAATTAGCAGGTGAGAAATGGGTTTTTGTTAGAAAATGGGTTTTTTGCGTCTTTTTCAAGTTTCGCAAATATCTGATATGGATTTCACTCAACATGTGATAGTCTATCAGGTGATTTTTTGATATTTACAAGACAGTTTTGATTATGGAAAATCAAATCCGAAATCCGCTGATATGTGAAAACAAATAAAGTTAGTCTTGCAGATCAACTTCATTACAAATATGCATCTGCCCTTCGATGAAGTACTTCCAAATAAAACCGAATTTTCCGTAGTTCCATAGCGAATTCACCGATAGAATATTCCATATTTTTTTAAGGATTCATTATAAGAATTTGAAAACTATAAATATGTCGAGTCATCTATACTTGCTTATACTGTAATATTATAAGATGGAACTTATAAAATTAAATGATGAAAATTCTTTTGATCCAACACCAAAATTAAAATCTAGTCCCGTACCGATTTTTTTTGTTTCATTTAATTGTAATGATAAAAATTGTTTTCATTGTGGAGAAGAATATACAGAAATGACTATTTACGATCAAAGATATTGCAAAAAATGTTTATCGTATTATTTAACCGATATAACCGATACTAATAATATATGCTTGGACGTACATTTATTCACAAAGGAACTGGAATGTAATAAACATGAAATAAGTAGCACAAAAGTACCACAAAATATCCAAGAATGCTGTAGAAATTGTTTGACAATATTATGCTTTAAACAAATATCTGATTATCACTTTGACCGGGATGTGAATAGTGATTCATACATTTTATACAAAAATTTAATTGAAAGCGTAAAATATTGTAAACTATGTGGAAAATTATTATATAAAGAAACAGACACAAAGAAGATAATATTGTGTTCGGGTTGTTATCTAATATCTTCTGGATGTATCGAATCAACCTTTACTAAAAAGTTTATTTCAATTATTTATTTACCATGGTGGGATGATGTGTCTCAGTGTTATTATTGTGATGAAGAATTAGTATTTACATCAAACTGTCAAAAGTATTGTATGTATTGTATTGTATTTTTTATTGGGTGTAGATACTGTTTAACAACAAATATTATTTTTGGATATACAAATCAATCGCAATGTAAAAAGTGCAAGAGAATATCAACTATTACTATTGATATTAGAAAGATTATTATAAGTGGGAATAGCGTTTTAGATGATTTTCTTCTTAGTACAAGATCATGTCAATCAGCAATAACTAAATTTGCTAATAAAATAAAAAATATTGATAAACTGTACGACTCGTTAGAAATGCATTATATTTTAAGTTATGATATTGAAACATATAAATTTATGAATTATATACCATATTCTCAATTTACAAATGTAAAAGAATTAGCAGAAGGAGGATTTAGTATTGTGTATCAAGCAACTTGGTTAGATGGTCCAAAATATACTAGTGATATAATTGCTATTTTAAAAAGATTTAAAAATTCTCAGGACACTGACAAATATTTTGTAAATGAGGTAAATATTTTAGGTTAAAAAATTCGTATTTGTTATATGAAATTTAAATTTAATCTTTAAATTTATAGTTAAAGTCGAATTATCATTGTTATAATTATGCTGCGTTGATTAAAACTTATGGTTTTACAAAAGATCCTCAATTAGATATATATATATTAGTTATGCAATATGCTCCAGAAGGAGATTTACATAAGTAATTACAAAAGAACTTTACAAAAATTAAATGGAAAAATAAATTACAAATCCTATATTGTATTGCAGATGGGTATTTATATTTTAAATATATTGGTAAATGATTAATTTATGATACAAATTTATTAATTACTTTTACTTTTTAGACTTCGTGAAATTCATAATGCAAATTTCATACATCGAGATATCCACAGTGGAAATGTATTGGTAAGTTCGCTTACAGATTGTAAAGTCGGAGATCTAGGATTATCACGACCTACGAATGATATCTCACCGGATAATGAAATATATGGAGTGATACCTTATATTGCACCAGAAATATTTAAAGGGTCTGCATTTTCTAAAGAATCTGATATTTATAGCCTGGGTATGATTATGTGGGAACTGACAACAGGTTGTAAGCCTTTTGCTAATTTTGAACATGATCATAGTCTTATTTATAAAATTATTGATGGTGTACGACCTGAAATTACAAAAGACACACCAGAATTCTATGCTAATTTAATGAAAAGATGTTGGGATCCTGATCCCAAAAAAAGACCTTCTATAAATGATATTTATGATATTAGTAGCAAATGTGTTATATTAATTGATCAATCATTCAATAAACAATTTGATCAAGCTGAATTAATAAGGGAAGAGTTAATAGATTCAAAGAAGCTTGGTCCTGAGTTCAGTGAAAAGCCTCATCCAAAAGCTATTTATACAAGCAGATCATTAAACTCATACATTTCCAAATGTTCATCTATATTTTCTAAATGTTCATCAATAAGTTTTACATCAAATGGTATGTATATATAATGCTATTTAATAAAAGTATTCTTTGGATAGATAAATTAATTTTTTTTTTTTTTTTTTATAGATTACACTTCGGAAGAATTAAAATTAGATATAGATATTGAAAGGTATTATAAATTAAAAATATTTGTCATTTATAATCTAATCAAACACCGAAAGTCTTCAACAAATACAATTTTATATTAATAGTGGACTCAATTAAGAGAAATATTGAAGAATTAAATATTAATTCTTGTGAATATAATGGTAAATATTTTATTTGATTTAAAATATTATTAAAATTTGTTGCTTATATTATTTATTTATTTTTCCATTTTTAAAAATAGGAAAACGCATTAAAAATTTATTTTCAGTTATTTATGAACTCCTCTCAGCAACTTATTCATGAAAAAAAATGTAGGATTTTGTAGTCAACATATTTTTTATTTAATTGTCTATTATAAAAATTTTTATTTATATTTAATTATTTATATTATATTATATATTGCGTCAACGAATTTTTTATTTATATTATTTATTATAAAAATTTTTTATTTATGTTAATTTCTGGTTATTATTAAAAAATGGTCGCGCATTTTGCAAATTTTTCCAATAGTTTTGGATGTACATTTTGATTAAATTTAAGTAAATATTAAACATATGTCGTAAAATACTAAATTACTAATGTCTTACGCTTCTGCTGTATACTTTGGCAATTTCTCAGATAGAGTCACCGTACAAAAATTTTCATATCTTTATATTCTTTTTTTAAAAATAATTTGGCAAGGAATTTCCATAATTGATATACTAAGTTTGTTAGTAATAAAGTAATATACGTCATTTACTACTTTTTTTAAAGATTTTACGTAAGTGATAATCGTGTATGATTGGGCGTTAACTTTTTATAATATATTATAGCTTATCAGTAAAATCTATTTAAACTTTCATTTATTTCTCTGTTCTTGAAAATGCCACGTCAAAAAAAAGGTGTTTTCTTTATTTATAGTTTATTTGATACTATAAATAAACTCAACATAAATCAATATAGTTTTTTGATACTATGAATAAACTTTAGTCAATATACTATAAAAAATATCTAAAATTAAAACATGTTATGGTCATATATAACTGTACGATAATATTTAATAAAAAGCGGGAAAATCGAGTTTTTTCTATGATCATTTAATATCTTTTAAGTTCACAAGAATCAAATAATTCGTGACAGGTACTGCTTTTGCTTTTTGGACTTGAATCTACTATCTAGATCAGTGATGGGATTGATACTGTGGTATTATGATCAGCTTTTTTTCGATTCTTATTTTTAATAATTATTTTTTGCTAATTTTTTTTTGTTCTTTCACCCTTTAGATTTGGGATCAGTGATTGGATCGATACTGCGGTGCTATGTAAACGCCTTTTTTTCCGATTTTTATTTTTAATATTTTTTTTTTTCATATGCTAATTACTTTTTACTAATCTTTTTTCATCATATTTTTTTTTCGTTATTTCATCTTTTTAATAGGTTTGAATAAAGGTCAGTGCTGCGATATAATTGAAATAAACATATTTTTTTTTATTTGAATAGTAAACATGTTTTGTATGATTTTTTTTTTTTATGTATTTTTCTACTTACTTTAACAATCTTTAATGTATAAGGACTATAAATTTGAGGTTTAATTACGACTGAAGATTGGTGTTAAAAATGAGAGTTTTTGAAAAAATTCAAAATATTTTACTCAATATATTTTAAATCTCTATAAAAATTTCAAGATAGTACAGAGGTAAAAAAAATAACGAGGAAGTCGAGGAACGGACATTTGTCGATCAGTCACATGATTTCTGATATTTTTGAGATTGACTTAATGCGCAGTAACTGCTTGTGGCGACAGTGGCGTAATTTATTCGTATTTGAGTCGTTCTGAAAAGCAACACAATAAGCGGGTAAAAGCCTGTGCAGTATACAGAATAAAGATATTTGCAAGACAATCCAGTTCCAAAAATTATTATTTTATTTATTTTATGTGAAGTTGGCAAGGACATCAAAGGAGTATGATTGACCCCGAAGGGAAAGGAATTCCAAAAATTATTAAATTGTAGGCAACGAAATTATAGTTAAAAGTTACACTATCACGTTACCATTTTGTTACTACTTTGTCACCAAAATAGCTTTTCAGCAAAGCATATTAAGTGCTATAGCACTTAGATGAGAGCGTTCATTTATATAAACTCCGATTTTGTCATAATCATTTCGTTCATTTAAATTATTTAAATAACAAAAAAAAAACCTTCACTTGTTACTAAAAGAGCAAGATGCTTACTTTACCAGTTAATATTAATCCAGTCGCAATAATTATGCAATCTGATTAATTATTAAAGGAAGGTTTTTCATAGTACATCGAATGACAAAATTTTTTAAAATTATTCAGAAAATTCCGATTTTTTTTTAATTTAATGATTTTGATTATAAACTTGGAATTTTTCTAACTATCATCGGGGTGATGATCACCTGTGACTGAAATTATGATGATTACCAGCATTAAAAAAATATAGTGCCATTAAAAATTGATAATTCTGGCCAACGGTGATGATCACCCCGGTGATTTGAAGTAAAAAGCATAAACTTAATTACGATCATAAATTTTTTATCTACATCATACAACGAGTTATGATTTAATAAAGAGGACATATAATTCTTACTGTAGTTTCATTTATTTGTTAATTAGCAACAATAAAAAAAAAATTATGAAGTATTATTATTCTGAAGTCTTATTAAGAGGGAAAGTATATACTCGGTGATATTTAAATTAAATGACTAATCAGTTTATATGTATCTCATATATAATAAGTACTATTTATTTATTACAAAATTTACATACTAATTTTAATTAAAAGAATTAGTTAATGGTTCCTTCTCAATATTAATATTGAGAGGATGATAGAAAATAATTAGACTAGACTACTGTAATTAATTTATTATTATTTTTATGAATTGTAAATAGGTTAATAATATATTAATATAATTAAATTTCATGCCTAGGTTTTTTTGATGCAAGGGATTCAGATGACGATCCAGGTTGTTCAAAATCAGAATCATTCAATTCCTTCTCAGAGTACCTACACATAAATTCTTCATGATAAATTTTATATGCTTTAGTACCATTATAATTATCTTTTAATTCATCAAACAATTTAGCCAATTCATTCTGATCTGAATAACAATCCATCTCGTTAAACTTTCTTTTATTATTATTTTTATAATAATAATTAACTTTGGGTCTGTCATACTCATGATTTATATCATATGGTAAATTGCGTTGTAATTTTAGACCAAACAAAATTGGCAAGCTTATTTTAAAAAATGGTTTGATAATTTCTTCATCTTTCGCCATCATTAAATATGGTAAATAATTTCTTTTAAATGGAAACTTTTCTTTGCAAAATTCTAGATAAATGGAGCAAATGGAATTAAAAGCTTGTTTAGTAAGATGTTCTGGAACATCTAATTCAGGATTTTCTTGTAATTTTAAATCTATCCAAATTCTTGATTCTAAAATATCATCAAAACATTGATGTGTAATTTTATAATTTGGACCATATTTCTTAAGTATCCAATAATAAATATTTGAATGAACTGATAATGATCTCATTTCTACAGATTTTATTGAATCAATATCATATTTAAAACCAACATTATAATGTTTTAATGCTTTTTCCCAAGCTTTTTCAGGTTGATCATCAATATATTTAATTAAAAATTCCAATAAATCAAATTTTTTATGTTTTCTCTCAGGTTTTGCTGTTTGAATAAGACAGGAGCAAGCAATTACTGATTTTGGTTCTTTACGAATATTTTGAAACGAATCCATCAAAAGATCCCCAATCTCATCTAATCTATGTTCAAATAATTGAAATGCTGCTTCCATAACAGTTTCGGTTAATTGAAATCCAACAGCAAGTAGTTGTCTTAAACGGGTTACAACGGAATCAATGTCAGGAATTATCCAATTAGTGGGTGGAGTAGGAGGAAATAAAATTAAAAAGGCGCCTTGCATCACGAGATCGTTGACATCACTGCAAATTCTATGGTATCCAATTTCTTTCCATAAATTTATTAAATCAGGATGTATCAATATCGCTCTAGCCACGACATTAAGTTGACGACTATTTTCATAGCCATCCTTCGGAGGATAATCTTCATGAGCTCTCGCTTGCATTAATTGAATATATTCTATGGTATCTTCGAAAATAGGTTTAGGACGAGGGGGAAAAGGCACAAACTTTTTATTTAAAATCAAATCTTCAATTTCACTAAGATTTTGATGAAGTTTTTGAGGAGCATCATTAATGACAAGAGGACCGGCTGATAAGAAATGAAATAATTCCATATCATTTCCTTTCGTCTCAAGACCATGATCACTTAAAGTATTATATCCTTCAGTGATTAGTTTAGTAAAAATTGGTAAAGGTAAATTACTAGCCCAAGGAGAACGAAGTTTCTTTTTAAAGTCACGAATTCTATCAAAATCAATTTGATTTGCATTATGTTGGATCTTTTGTTCTATAAGTTTTTCATCATAAGGCCCAAATTGCATTATTAGACGTTGTATAAAATATCTAGAAATTAAGGCTTTTCGTGTGAGCAAAACCTGAACAACGTCAAGCGTTAAAAAATCGTTTCCAAGCCTAACGCCATGAAATAAAGCGTGGGAACGACCATATTTATATATTAGCCATTCCCCGCGAACATGAGGATCTTGCGAGACAGCATACCATTTGCGATCTGTAAGTATAAGTGAAATAGGTGTTTCTATAAATTTGAATATTTCACTTCTTATTTCATGAAGTAGAGACTGCATTTTTTGATCTTTTTTGTGGAGTATTTTTTTNTTTTTTTTTTTTTTTTTGTGAAAGTATTTTTTTTTTTTAATGATCAAGTTCTTATAAATATTTTGTAAATTGATAATCATAGCCATTGTTTATTAAAATCCCGGTTCGATAATTTAAATTAAATGAACTAAATGATCATTTGCAAATCTTTTAATAAACATAATAATGTTTATTCATACCTTTTTTTGTACATAATTCAGCTCTTTCATTCCATTTTCATTGACTATGGCATTATGATTTTGGGTAACGTTACAGTGAAATAGACTGAATCGTTTATTTTGATTAGATCTTTGCATATTAAAGATAATAATTGATTTGTTTTATATTGTCGATTTTATCTTATTATTTTTTTAATGACCAATTTTTAAACAAATTATATTGAAATTTTTAATTAATTATTATAAAGTATTAATTAATAATTATTACGCTGTGCTCAACGTATACTATATAATTTCTCATCAACATTTGGCAATAATTTCTAATAATATTTTTTAACTTTTAATTCTCAGTGGAGAAACACATTTCTTTTTAAAAATCTAAGAATATTTTTAAATAAGCACGATTAAGACGAAAGAACCAGTTTTTATAATATCAAACTTATCATGTTCAATTATAATAAAACTTAAAAACTGTTTGACAAATCAAAATTAAGTTTTATTCGGACTTTGAATAAATTTAAACATTTTATTTACTTTTTTGTTTAGAACAAAGAGAAAGAGAATAAGCATATTCATAGTAAAAAACTTAAATTTTAGAAACTGTTTTCATTTTATAAAAGTAATATATTTATTTTATATAATATAATAAATGCTTTATAGTCAAATATATAACATATTAAATAATTGTACTGCGAGTTCATTTAAATTTTCGCCTTAAAAATTATTTCATTTTTCATTTTTTTCAAAAAAAAATATGCATTTACTTTAATCTTACATTTATTGACCAATAATTTAGGTAAATACAAATTTGTTGTGTAATCAGGGACTCAGGGTTCAATCTTTTTTTAATGTTTCACAAAGACATTGGCTTTTATATTAAACGAGTTTATTACTGTAAATTTATTTACTTAATTTGTTCTTATAAGTACAATTAAATAATCTAATGTGTAAATAAAAGTTAAAAATAAATAAATAGTACCCATTTTTCTATAATTTCTTTAATATGTAGAACTTATTCAATAAGACAGTAAAAAATTGGACTAATCCTTTTTATTCTATGTTTGAATGTAATATATGACATCAACATTTGTTATAGAAGTTCATAAAAAGTAATTTAACAATGGGATATACATTTTGCATTCATTAGCTGGATGTGTAACAAATATTTCATTGAAAATGACTAAATGCTTGAATGATCAGATTTAACATTTCAATGTTACAAAGACTTTGTGATACCCATCGTTATAATTTTGAAAATTTTATCAATAAACTTATAATCACTTTACAAATTATGGAAATTATGACAAAAATTAGGAGTTCATTTATTGTAAAATTACTCATAAAAAAAATTTATCATCAAAAAAAAAGTACTATTTGTTATCGAAAGAAAACAAATAAATTACTAGTAAACTTTACAGGGGGTGGTTGTAGCGATGGTTCCGTTGTTGAAAAAATCACTGATTCGTTTGTCAGCGATACTTGTTAATTGTTTTAATAATTTTAACTATCCCTTTTTAAAAAAGTTGTTCTTCTGTAACTAAAACCACTAATAAAAATGAATTAATCAATGTCATTTTCATATAACATTTTAGCATACTAACAGTATTCCCATTGTATTGACGGTAAAAAATTAACACGACCGAATATGGTAATAAAATTTGGGGTGTTTAAGCAGGAATACTTTCTTCAAAAAAAATAAAAATTACCATCACTTCTGAAGCTTTCAAATTTAGATACTGTCTATCCAGAAGGTATCGGGACATTCCGCTGAAAGCCATTTCGCTTAAAGGACGCTTCACCGAAAAATAGGGCCAACATTATGTAGCATTATTATGAATAACTCAGGCCAGAGCTTATTTGGCAAAATGACTTTCGGCGAAATATCCTCGATACCATCCTAAATGATATATTATTTGACACCATTTCTTTGGTAATCAAAATAAATCCGATATCCAATCAGAGGGCAAATGTCTAATTAGTAGGTAATTGATTCAACATTTTAATACGATAAAATCTGGTGAAAAAAAATGTGTTAGACGCAACAAATATGAGTTTACAAAGGCTTTTTTTTTTTTATCTAATTTCTCTATTTTTATATATAATTTCTTTGAATTTTGTATTTTAAGACTTCAAACAACTATGCTTTTCTTCTTTTAAATTTTTAAATTTTTACAATTTATATCAATAAATGATCTGCGCCAAGCGAACCGACGCCTAGTGGTAAAGTTGTTGTAAGTGCTTAAATCTAATAAAAATAATGTTTTATAAATAATATCGAGTTCATAGTTTATTATTCACTTTTTTTCCTTTGAAGTTGCTAAAACATATAATAAAGTTAAAATATCATGAAGAAGTTACGGATTTTAAAGTTTAATAATGATAAAGTTGGTAGTTCAAATGATCTAAATAAGAATTTTAATCACTATATAATTTTTTTTCTTTAAATTAATTTAGTTAGTCATTATTTGATTATTATTAACTTCTGATCTGTTATATTCGTAATTTATATCATACGGTAATTTTATATTTAATTCTAAACCTGATAAAATTTTCGAGAACCGCCCGATGATTTCTTCATTTTTGACCAATTTTAAATATGGAAAATAATTTGCTTTAAACGGGACTTTATCGTTACAATATTTTTGATAAATGGAGCAAATGGAATTAAAAGCTTGTAAAGTAAGATGTTCTGGAATATCTCTTTCAGGATTTTCTTGTAATTTTAAATCTATCCAAATTCTTGATTCTAAAATATCATCAAAACATTGTTGCGTAATTCTAGAGTTTGGACCATATTCTTTAAGTACCCAATCATAAAAGCTTGAATTAACTGATAATGATCTCATTTTTGATAGTTTAATCGAATTAGCATCATATTTAAACGCAACGTTATAATGATTAAGTACGTATTTTAGAGCTGTTTCTGCTGGTTGATCAATTTCATTAATTAAGAATTCCAATAAATTAAAATTTTCATGATCTCTTTCGGGTTTTAAGGTTTTAATTAGACAAGAACGAACAATAGCGAATTTTGATTCATTACGAATTACTTGAAACGAACTTATCAAAAGATCTCCAATTTCATTTAATCTAAGTTTAAATAAATGAAACGTTTCTTCCATAACAACTCTTGTTAATTGAAATCCAACAGCAAGTAGTTGTCTTAAACGGGTTACAACGAAATCAATGTCAGGAATTATCCAATTAGTGGGTGGAGTAGGAGGAAATAAAGTTAAAAAAGCGCCTTGCATCACGAGATCGTTAACATCACTGCAAATTTCGTAATACCCAATTTCTTTCCACATATAAACTAAATCAGGATAAATTAATATTGCTCTAGCAATAACATTTAGTTGACGACTATTTTCGTAACCATCTTTTGGTGGGTAATCGTCTTGAGATCTGTCTTGTATTAATTGAATATGATATTCTATGGTATCTTCGTAAATAAATTTAGGACGGGTGGAAAAGGTACAAACTTTTTGTTTAAAATCAAATCTTTAATATCACTAAGATTTTGGAAAAGTTTTTGAGGATCATCATTAATGCTGGTAAGAGTGTCGGCAGGGTCAGATAAGTAATGAAATAATTCCATATCATTTCCCTTAACCACAAGATCACGATTATATCCTTCAATAATTAATTGAGTAAAAATTGGTGAAGGTAAATTACTAGTCCAAGAACCTAATTTTTTTTTGAAGAGACCAAGTACTGTTGTCAAAATCAACTTGATTTGCGTTATGTTTATTTCTAATTTCTATAAGCTTCTTACCTTCAGATCCGATACTCATTAATAAACGTTGTATGAAATATCTAGAAATTATTGCATTTCTTACAAGTAAATTTCGAACAAGGCCGACTGTTATGAAGTCGCTCCCAAGTCTCACCGCGTGAAATATGGCGTGGGTTTTACCATACTTATAAATTAACCATTCTGCACGAGCATAAGGATCTTGCGTTATGGCATACCATTTGCGATCTGTTAGAATAAGTGAAATAGGTGTGTCTACATATTTAAATATGATAATTCTCAGTTCATAATATAGGGACTGCATTTTGTGTTCTTTTTTATGAAGTATTTCTTTTTTCATGGCCTCCGAGAAGCTTTGTTTATATAATATTTAAGTTATAGGTAAATTATCATCATTATTGCATTCATGTTAATCATTGCACTAAAAATCATTGCACTACGCATCATTGCTTATAAATTTAATTACTCTTTCATTGATTATTGGAATTTGATCTTGTGATTTTTGGTAACGTTACAACGAAATATGTGAACGAATCGCTCATAATAATTAAAGATAATTCATTTTTTGATTTGCTTGTTCTTATTCTTTTATAATAACCAATACTACCTAGATTAAAAAAATTATGACGAAATATATCGATTATTAATTTGCAATTAATATTATAAAGTATCAATATTTAGAGTACCAGTTTTAATAATATTTTTAATCTTGATAAGAGACACATTTCTTTTTAAGAATTTAAGAATATTTAAATTTGATACTGAATAGGCACGAAAAAGACGATAAAAAGAAGGGAAAGAAAGATTTTTATAATATTGGTATCAAATTATGTTAAATTAGCTAGATAACTCCGGTCTTATTACCAAAATGTTATTGATCAAAATTAGTACTATACGGTGATTACAGGTACAAAGGGAATGAGAATATTTATACTAAATACTGCCAAATTTAAAAAATTATATTAAAGCAATTCAATTATGTCATTTGATAATTACCATAAATACTATAATATACAGTATCTTATATAGTCAAAATTTAAATTCATTTCAAATTATTTATGAATAACAAAAATTTTTAAAAATCATTCAATGCATAATAAATTATTAACAATTTCTGTGTTTGCAACTACGAGTTCGTTTAAATATTATTTTTAAAATTTATTCTTTTATTCATATTTTTCGGAGAAATCTGTCCCTATAAAAAATTTTTCAAAAAAATGGTCACGTGCCTGAGTTTCTGCGGAATAAAAACTAAAAAAATGATCATTTATCGGAGTTTTTTCCAGAATTTTTTTTATAGGTGTGGTGTATATACTTGTACCTTAACTATGAAATACACTGACCAATTTAGTTAAATTCTTGTATTTTTAAAATCAGATTGATTTAATCTTTATAGCTGGCGTTTCACAAAGATAATACATCTCAGCTTTCAAGCTTTCATATGACTATTTTTACTGGAGATTTATATATTTACTTAATTTGCTCTTATAAATATATCTAAATGGTTATTTAATAGGTAAATGCAAGCTAAAATTAAATAAAAATAGCGCACAATTAGCTTTACTTATTATTCTTTTAATAGACATTTACAAGATCAATGAAGACAGTAAAAATTAAAAAATCGGAAAAACACACTAATACTTTTTTGTTATATGTTTGAATGTAAATAGGGTCATATGGAAAGTCATTATGACATCAAATATTGTTGTATTAGTACATAAAAAGCAATTGAACAATGAAAGCATATCATTTGCATGTGCGACAAACAATCATTGGGAATGCTTAAACGCTTTGACCAATAATCCAATATAAATTAAAAGATTTTGTGATACAATATTATAATTTTAAATTTTATTATCAACCAAATTTGTAATTGTGTTTGCGAATTACGTAATAAAATTCAGGAGCCCACTTATTGATTATGATTAGTCGATAAAAATCAATTATTATCTGAAAAAAAAAAAAAAATACCATTTACAATCGAAAGAAAAAAATAACCGGTTTGATTGGATTAGTATATATATCACCAAAGTCCATCTGTAAAAATTCCGTGAAATTTCCATGTTTTGAAGTAATAAATTCCGTGAGTATGATAGTACATTTACGGAAATAACATGGAATAAAAGAAAACACGGAATAAATTTTTTATGGAGATAGTACAACGTCTTTTAATATCCACATTTATACGGCAAAAAATTGACACATTAGAAAGTAGTAACAAATATTTGATGGTGCGCGTGTTTATGCAGCGATCGCTTTCTTAAAAGGCACTTTTTCTGAAGCTTACTAATTGGCGTACTACCTATCAATATGTGATGATCGAAAATACATTCAATGTCCAATCAGAGACAAATACCTAATTGAGTATGGTATATCCATACAAACGTGCGGATAAACAAAATGTATCATTTGTTTAGTATGATAATATCCGATCAAAAAAAAAAAATGTTAGACGCAGCAATACGAGCTTATGAAGACTTTTATACTCTTTATATGTATATTCATTGAATTTTACATTTAAATTATTACACACTTTACATGATTAAAGTTGGAAATTTTTTATTCTATTTTACATAAATATCTTGGTAAGTGCTGAGATCTAAAAAAGAACTCATACATGTTTGTTAACTAATTTATTGTTTAGACCTTTTTGAACTAATTTCATCATTATTAATTTCCAAAATTCGTGATGATTTAATTCTTTCCCAAAATATTTTAAAATTATTTTTAAAAGATGATGTAATAACTATACTATTTACAGTAATTTGATTATTATATAATTCTAATGATTTAATCCATTCGTTCCTATCTAGTTGTTCGTCCATATCATTATACTTTCTCTTACTATTATTATTTTGATAATTATTAATATCTGGTCTGTTACACTCGTAATTTATATCATATGGTAGTTTAGAATTTAATTCTAGCCCGAACAAAATTGGCAAGCTTAATTCAAAACATGGTTTAATAATTTCTTCATTTTCAACCAATTTTAAATATGATAAATGATTTGCTTTAAATGGAATTCTTTCATTACAAAATTCGAGGTAAATAGAACAAATGCTATTAAATGCGCATTTAGTAAGATGATCTGGTATCTCTATTCCAGGAGTTTCTTGTAATTTTAAATCTATCCAAATTCTTGATTCTAGAATATCTTCAAAACATTTTTGTGTAATTTCAGAATTTGATCCATATTTTTTAAGTATCCAATAATAAACATTTGAATGAACGGATGATGATCTCATTTTTACTGATTTTATTGAATTATTATCATAATTAAATCCAACATTATAATGTTCTAATGCATCATTAAGAGCTTTTTCAGGTTGTTCATCGATTTTACTGATTAAAAATTCTAATAAATCTGTTTTTCTATGATTTCTCTCAGGTTTTATTGCTTGAGTAATACAAGAACTTGCAATAGATGATATTGATCTTTTATGAATTCTATGAAATGAATCCATTAAAATGTCCCCAAATCTATCTAACCTATGTTCAAATATGTGTAATGCATCTTCCATTACGATATCATTTAATTGAAATCCGAGATCAATAAGTTGTTTTAAACGTTTAATAACAGTATCTACATTAGGACATACCCAATTAATTGGCGGAGTAGGAGGGAATAAAATTAATAAAGCTCCTTGCATCACGAGTTCATTCAAGTCACTACAAATTTCGTAATACCCAATTTCTTTCCACATGATAACTAAATCAGGATAAATTAATATTGCTCTAGCAATAACGTTTAGTTGACGACTATTTTCATAACCATCTTTTGGTGGATAATCTTCTTGAGCCCTGTCTTGTATCAATTGGATAAATTCTATTGTATCTTCATAAATAGGTTTTTTACGAGGTGGAAAAGGTACAAATTTTCTATTTAAGATTAAATCTTTAATATCAACAAGATTTTGATAAAGCCTTTGAGGAGCATGATATATAGTAAGTGGACCAGCTGATAAAAAATGGAATAATTCCATATCATTGCCTTTTGCAGCAAGTTCATTATCATTTAAAATTTCATAACATTTAGTAATTAAATTAGTAAAAACTGGTATAGTTAAATTACTCGCCCAAGATTTCTTCCAAGGGGAACGATTATTTACATTATGTACATTATATTCGATTTTTTGCTTGGTAAGTTTTTCATCGATAGTTCCAAAATGCATTAATAAGCGTTGCACAAAATACCTAGATATTATGGCATCTCTTGCTATTAAAGCTTGTACAACATTGTCCGTCATAAAGTTTCTGAGCCTTACTGCATGAAATAAGGCATGAGCCTTACCATATTTATTAATCAACCATTCTGCTTTAGCGTGAGGATCTTGAGAAATAGCGAACCATTCCCTGTTGGTAACTACAAGTGAACTTGGTGTAATTACGTATTTAAATATGTTAATTCTCAATTCATCATATAACGATTGCATTTTATGCAAAAAATCTTTTTTTTAAATTTTTTTAAAAAATTTTAAACGAAAGATTTAAAATTTTTTAAAAAAATTTGACATTTTATTATTATGCAAATTATTGTGTGACTTACATTTCTTTGTTAAAATTTCTAAATGAGGCAAACCGATTGCAGCATTTTTTGTTACACATTGATTATCAATCTAAATAATCTCATTATTAATGGTATTTTTAAGTTTGTGTGATACATAAATAAAAACTAAGGACAGTAATCGATACTGGAAGTCTAAAAATAAAAAATATAAAAAAATTTATTTTTATTATCTGGTTATTATTATTTATTAAAATAATAATCAAATAAAATTACGTACTTTCAATAGAATATTAGCCAGTTATACTCTGTAGGACTTATTATTTATTTATTAACTGGTCTCCACCGCCATTGCTCAAGACAATATCATTTGTCATTTGAATAAAACAGATAATCATTACCATTGTCCCTTTGTTAAGTTACCATATTTGTAAATTCATTTTTTTTTATGTGGCATTTTTTAACAATGAAGTGAATGAATTTTTTTCGGGGATTTGATTGACATTTCTGCATTACATGTTACATTTATGTCATCATAATATATTAAGTAATATTAAACATTTTAATAAATAAACAAATAAAAAATGAAATAAAATTTCGAAAGCTTACGTAAATTTTTAATAATCAATAATCTAGAATTTTTTAGAAAAATTTTTGAATTTTTACTTATTAGTAAAAATCAAAGGAAACAATAAAAATTACATTTTTTTTTTTTTTTTTTTTTTGTCGAAAAAATTATTATTATTTATTTAATTTTTAGTATTGTCCTTTCTAATAAATTAAAAAAAATTGTTCACCATTATTAAACTCCAATGAATGAGGGAAAAAACGTTTCTAAAATACTTAATAAAATGAAAGGCTTTTGAAAACACATGATGAAAAATGCCAAGCAAAATGAAAATCACCTGTAATACTGCGACCTGCAGTGCTACAGTTATTTTATAGAAATAAACAAATTAATTCAATTATTGTGATAAATTAAATAAATTAAAAATTAATTAGGTTTTTATTATGAAATTTGCAATAAACGATTCCGTCTTATATCCTTTATTAGATTGTTATAAAATTTAATAGTCTAATGGAAAGATATAAATAAAAATTAGTCATTTATGCGATGCTATGTCCTTCCTTTGTTTTTTTTTTGATACATACTTTCTTTATCTAAACTGTGACGTTCACGAAAGATCACATGCTACAAAGGAATCTTACAAGTGATTATGCATGTTTGATAAACAAATTGTTTGAAACTGTTAGGTTGCATTGTAGATCAAATCAAATTGAATTTCGATTTGGCGTGATTGATGCCCAAATTGCATATTCATGAGACGCCTCTTCGAAAGATCGTTATGTCCTATGTTCAAATTGGCTTAGTTAAAATTTGGGGCAAAAACTATGGTGAATTTGGTGGTACTAGTGTTTTCAGTATTCCCGGAATACTGGAATAGTTTGGAATACTCCAAAAACATTTTAATTATTAGTTTTTGACTTTAAATTTATAAAATTAAATTTTATTAAATCTAAAATTCATCGGAAATCATCACTGGGTGGCGCATGACTAAAATATAATCGTTCAGCAGTTAATATATCAATACGAGAGGCTTAAAAAAATATATATATATTTTCTTGTCCGGTGTAAAGTGTTTTATTTATAACGGAATGTTTCAGCCAGATGATTTCATTTAATGACCGACCGAAACGAGTATTTTATTTTAAAAAGCATTTTTAAATTTATTTTTTTCGTCTCGAATAACAATTACAAATAATTGAAGTAATTAATTTGTTTCTTATACTGTCCAATAGTGGTAATAATCTCTTATCGCTTTATTAAGATTTTCAACACATTTGGTTTTTTTCGGACTGATTTTTCCAGGAAAGTTTATAAAATTTAAAATCTAATAATAATCATAAAAATATAAAAATGTTAATTAATAAAAGAGTGGATTGTCATTAACCGTAATAAACGTTTAAAAAATTTATTTTTCTTATAGTGTACATAATATTGTCAAGAAATATCAATATAAGTAAAAATATTCTATCTTTAAAAGCTTTTAAATCTAAAGAGCATAATTTTTTATACGAGAAATAAAATAATAATTTATCAATAATGCATATAATATTATTTAAATTACAATCTCATCCATTCCTTTTGAAACGCGTAAATAAAGTTTTACAAACAAGCTTTCTTCAAGACTTAATTTTTGATGTGGTGATAATGTCGCCTCGTTGTTTCGTGTATTTATATCAAATTCCTCATTATTCAATAAATCTTCGATTATTGAATGAGGTAACAATTTACACCTGACATAATAATTTATTGTATGATATTGATAAATAAATTCATGATCGTAATTTAGATTATTATCAGGGTCATTATCATTAAAAAAATCAAAATTTTCTTGAATTATTTTGTAAGTTATTAAGAAAAAATTTTTATCGGTTAGTGTACTATGAAAAAACCTCCCCTTAGTAATTAACTGACGTTGCATAATTATTGCGACTGGGTTTACAACAGTAGCAGGTGGAGTTACCATTTTGCTTATCTGTTGTATTATTGAAAGGCAATGAAAATTTATTTCAATAGTTTAAATAAAAAAAAAATGATACGGAAAGGTGACAAGGAATTAGAGGTTTATATAGCTTTTTGTAAAATTGGAGTATATTGGTATATAGTTAGTTTCATCTTTTAATATCAATAATAATTCTTTTTTGCATTTTGTTTATTTGTTTGTTCCAAATTAATAAAGCCGACCCCAATTTTTGTCGAAAACTCCGTAATACACATTGATCGTTTTTGTGAATTATTTTTATTTTACCGATATAGTTTAGATTGCATTTCAATCTCCCACGTGATCTGATGTCGCACTTGGATAATTTCAACCGTATCTCGTTTAGCCCCCTTTTTTTAGAATGGATAGTCCCATTGGAGCCTTCCTCACGGAGCCAGGCCAGCTTATAGCAGATTAGGAACCCGTCGCTGCTCGTTTGACCCTACTGCGATAACAATGACGCTCATTACCGTGACTTTTTTTGCAAGCTACACAAAAACTTTTTTGGATCAAGAAATAAGTAGATTAGGTAATCAACACTGTTTCAAAAAAATGCCTATCCTCTAAGAGAAAATTATGAATTAGTAAAATTTTACTAGAATCGGATAAATGATCGGCCGATCATGTTCCTGTTCCAATTAGCCAGAATATTCACTGATCGACACAATTTTATTATACCTACTGGTAACAAATTTTATATGTATTTATTTATCCATTCCTAAGAGCCTAGGAGATTTTGCAGTAAAAATCAACTATTGATTATACTATAATAGATTGATTTGAAAATTTGAGTAATTCTTTAGAAAGATTTGTATTTTCCAAATGAGAAAAACTTTCTTTTAATTTATTCGTAATCTCAATATTATTTTTCAAGTGTAATAATAGTAATAGTTCCGAAGTTTTTAAAATTTAATCATTTTTTTAAAAATCTTAAAATGAAAAACAGAAAAAAACCAAGTGAAAGAAAATAAGATTCAACAATAAAATATACTATATTTATACTCACGATATACTACATGTAAATGGCAGGGGATAAATCAATTTTATTCTTTTTATTATAGTGGCTCTAAATAATCACAAGCATAAAGGCATGCTAGTAGTAGTCGTTATTCTCTTCACCAACCTTTACACCTGAACTTATTCAACCTCAAACGTCTTTAAAAAATTTAAAATTATAATCAAGTTATACTATGTCCTAGCCGTCTCTTTCTAAACCAAATCATAAATATTAATTCTAGAGGTCTTAACAAATAAAAATATCTTATAAATAATACGTTCGAGCATTACATCAATCAATATTGTTAAAATTTCCCAAATGATAATAACAAGGTCAGTTAGATCATTTTCATTTACGAAATAATATGTTTTGAATGACCAAAATGATAATGATAAAAGGTTATTTGAGAATCATTTCAAAAATGGTCAAATTAATGATTTTGTATTTTTTTCCAGATAGACTTCATTTTTTTACACAAGATAATCATATTTGAAAATGTAAAATTCTTTCTTTGATTAATAAAAATTGGTTATTAGTCTAATAATATGTATTTACAGAGCCCACCAATAAGTCGTCGGTCACCTTTAAATTCGTACAACTATTGCGCAAATATGATCATATGTAAACTTTTTTTTAAAATAATAAACCTGCCTTTTATCATATAATTAAAGTTAATCATCAAATTGAATTACGTTTACTCTAAAAATTATATGTAATTTTAAAAAGAATTGGCCATTATATTCTAAATTTTATTAAAAAATTGAAGATTTCAATTGAGATCTTTAGGTATTAATAAAAAATTAAATAATTTGTTCATCGATGCTTTAATTTTTTAATAAAATTGTTTGCTATAATTTATGGCACATAATTGTTAAAATATCATCAAAATTAATGAAATGATTAGAAAGTTATGCAACATTTAGCCGGCATTTGCTGATCATTTGTAGATCATCACCAAATTATTTACCTAATTTTAGCGTTAACTAACGCATTGAATTTGGCCAAATTTTTTTTCCAAGAATATTTGGTTACAGCTATTTATCCTTAAATTTTTTATCATAATAAAATTCAAGATTATAATTTATTCTTAACTTGATAATTTATTAATAATAGATAGATGTAAAATATGTTTGTAAAATATATGTAACTTATCAATTATTTTATTGATTTTAATAATACTTTATAATAATGTATTAAAAATCATGGTAGACGATTTTATTCAAAAAAAAAAACCCATTATAAAACAAATTATTTTATTGAAATCTTAAATTTTCTGATAAAATTTATAATTTTTAGAGTAAATGTAATTCAACTTGATGACCAACTTTACTTTTATGATAAAAGGCAGGTTCATTATTAAAAAAAAAAAGTTTACATATGATCATATTTGCGTAATAGTTGTACGAATTTAAGGTGACCAGTGACTTATTGGTGGGCACTGTACATGATTTATCATACGTCTTTATTAAAGACATAAGTGTAAATTACATCATATTTATGTAAATACTAATCAATTGTATCTAAATTTCTCCAGATAGCCAACGAAAAAAACGTTGCGAAACGTTTTTCAAAGTAATTTTAATTAAAAAAACGTTTTCGCAGCGATTTTTAATTAATTTAACAAAAAAAGACGTTGTTGCGAAACGTTTATTAAAAGTAATTTTAATTAAATATTTTTGTTATAATATTCAGATTTTATTTTTTTTAATAATAATAATTTTTTTTTTTTTTTGATCTTTTTCAAACTGATTTTTTTTTAAATTTTTTTCCCTTCATAATCTATTTAATGATAATTTTTTCTCATTCTTTGGCGTGTATTAAAGATAATAAATTATTGTAAATTTTCCAATTATCAATTTATAAATTTATAAATTTATTAACTCAATTATGGTTAAAAAAGATTTATTATAAATTCGTTTTATTAGAAATGAACAAGTTCAAAATAAATCACATTTCATATATTTTACATTTTATAGTCCTAACTCCCCTTTAAGCATGAACTCATACTGTATATTAAAACTAGTAAAATTATTTTTTATAATTTAATAATGACATCATTTTCTTCATATGAATTCATCATTTAAATTTCCATTTACAAGAGAAGATGTAATATTTTTTTGCCAAGCCGTTCGGCATTTTCAATTTCTTTTGTGTAAGTTTTTATTTTCTAAACAACTTTTCAATGCGAAAATAATGATAACTTTATTCTGATTCACAGTTAGTGTTCCGAAAGGGTCAGGGTTATTGTCCCGACTCTTATTTAGGGGTCGGGTTGGGGTCGCATGATTTGATGACTCGTAACCCGCATGAACTCGACCCGACCCGTCGAGTCGGGTTATACCTTTACTTTGACCTGGCGACCCGAATTTTTTTATTATAATTTAACCAAAAATTTCAATTTTACTATATTAAATACAACTTGACGGGTCGAACCCGGGTTATCCGAGTCAGACTATAATCAGGTCAAGTCGAATCCGAGTTGTTACTTTTACACTCGGATCAAGTTCGAATACACCTCGACTCGATTCCTTCGGACACTATTATTCACAGTTTAATATAAAAAAGATAAATAATGCATTCTTTTAGATATACAAATATATACAAATAGTGTATTAATATTGACATAACAAAAAAAAATTTATTATAGGACCTTCAAAAAAATAGATAGTGTTTCTGCTAATTTGGATGTGGTTTAATAAGAATTTGCACAGAATAATAGCATAATCAATAAGAATCATGCACTCACACTTCCTATGAAAATTACTGACCTATTGTTTAAACATTTGATTTAAAATCTTCTAAATTTATCCAACAATACTTTGAATTTATAAATCTTTATTTTTAATTATTTTTTTAAAATTATAATTTATTTGTTGATTAAAATAGTAAATAATTAGGACAATACATATATTGAGATCTTATACATACATAATATAAAAAATTTTAAGTCACTATTAATATACAATATTTACAAAAAGTCTATTATTCAGTATTAATTAATGGAAAATGATTTCCATATTTGAAGATTCTTTCAATGTGTCATTAATTTTTTGATCATCATCTTTACTCTCATCATCATCTTTAATCTCGTCATCATCTTTAATCTCATCATCCCCATGGTTCTCATCATTCTCATCCTCATTTTTTAATATAGTGCTTGTACATTCGAAGAATGTTAATTTTTTCATTGACACAACTATTATTTTATCATTATCAATAATTTGGCTGTGAGTTTGATCATCAGTATTTGTTGACGATCCATTCTGTTGACCTTTACCCTTAATGGCTTGAACAATTTCAGCATCGATTGTGATTACGTAAGATAGCAAAATGTGTATTAAGCATTTTACAGTCATTGATGGACCTTCTTGTACAAGATTAAATATATCCAAAACAGCATTAAGATGAAAGATGAGAGATATTATTAATCGTAAAAAATTCCAGTACGTAACAGCTGTGAATAATGTTCTCTTGCTTCTAATATTTAAAGACAATTGAGAAGCATTTTTATTGGCATTTTGTAAAATAAGGACTAAACGTGAGGTCACATATATATCAACTATAAAGTCCGTGACAATTCCTCCAGTACCGTAAGGGGCAATATCAAGAAAATCGTAATAACAAATATATGTATCACTTTCGGATATATACATGGTAGATATTCGTTGGAAAATTAGGTATGGGATCTATAAAATTAAATTATTGATGTCAATATTATTTTTTTAAAAGAAAAAGGAAGAAAAATATCATATTTTAACAGAAAATTTACCGTAAATGCAGCTCTAATTACAAATAATAAAATGCATATTCGTTTATCCCAGACTTTACTTTCCGTATCTATTTGCCTTATCCTCCATAATAAGAAAGCTGTTAATGATAATCTCGATACGATGTTTCCAATATACGTAATGTATAAAGGGACAGTACATTGAAGGATTGTAGGGAATTTTGGAGTTATATAAGAGCCAACAGATCCAGAATTGCGCATAATTTGACCAAAATTGAAAATAATTTTAAGAATACTTGAAGCGTGTGTTTTACGTGTTCTACGTGTTTTATATGAAATTATCGCTACGACCATGTTGTGAATGCATATCTATAAAAAGGGATAAAAGTAGTAAATCATTAATTAATATTTAACACCAGAGAGTTCTCCTACTTTAGACTCAAGATTGTTGTTGTTTGGAACTTTTCTGCTTAGTCTTTAATTAATTAAAATTTTATTTTAAAATTAATATCTTACCATAATAGATGCTCCCAACCAAAAGCAAACATATGCTTGCGTTTGAATAAAATTGATTTCCATTTTTATGCTTTGAATAAAAAAAAATAATTATGGGAGAAGGTGGAAGCGTATCTTTTTAAATTCTAAAAATTTTTTATTCATTCATTTCTAAAAAGGAAACCACAGTAAACTTTTGATTAAATATCCAGAAAAGTTGTCACAATCTAAGAATTTTATTCATTCATTCTAGAAAGGAAATTTATTAAACTTTGAATTAAATATCCAGCAAAGTTGTGTCACGTAATCTGGAAGTATATTGTGCCGATCCCAATTTAATATTGCTTTAGCCTCAAAAATCAAAAAATTTAAATGGAAATGATAAATTTTGATGATCATTTACGTTCCGTTATTTTAAATTTACCATCATTTGTACGATAAACAAATGTAACATGGTTGCGGTACAGTATTTCTAGTTAAGTTGAACAGCTTCTCTAAAAGGAAAAATAATTAACTTCGGGATAAACCAATAAAAATAGATAAATGGGCTTTTTTCTTACCGAAAATTAGCCAAAATGTCAAATTAAGATTGTTTAACATACCTTAATATTGTATTAAACCTAAATTATATTTATTAAAAGAAAAATAATCTAATCTAAAACTCTGTTTTGCCGACGCCAAGGGTATTTAAGATTTCTCAAGTTGCGCAAGTGCGTTTATAATTATCCATCACATAACTTCTTTCCGCATATGGACATTATCGTCTATTTAATAGAAAACAGGTTCTAATGCCAACTAGCAACCGAAACCATAATTTTATGTTTTGTGAGAACGTAATGAGAACCGAAATGGTTGAATTCCTGTTTCTATTCCGCATTTATACTAAACATTGTTAGTTATTGAGGCTAATTTTTTTTTTCGGCAATAACCGGACCGATTTCTGAAATCAATTTCCTATTTCAAAGTAGTAGTATTGTCTGTCCGGTCGATCAACGAAAAAAATTAATTCTTAGAATATCTTTTTTCTAAATAAAACGTCAACTCAATAATCTTAAAATACTTTTTCTTGAAAACTACTCATTTTATTTTCGGGCAAACTGTATATATATACAATTATACTGTCTATCATACTTCTTCACGCTTCGTTTATTTTCTATTATTACATTTTATCCTATAATTCTTATATATCTTTTTATCGAAGCATGCTTCCAAAATTTGCGGAGTTTATTATTTCCATGGTATGCAGCATATAGTAGAGATAGCAATTCTAAATCCGTCCATTCGGATAGTCCGCTTTAAATCCGATCCGAAACCAGATAACGGGATACATAATCCGTTATCTGTTATTTATAAATTGATATATATAGTAAGAGGGACAATCTTGTACACATCGTGTGCACAATGCTAACTATAAAATTGAAATTATGGTACAATGGTAATTTCTGCTCAAAAAATTGTAAAGAAACTTTGCAATTGCTTTATAGGAAATAAATAAACAATTTATATCTTATTATTTTATTATTTTTTTTTTCTTTCTTTCCCTCACTTTCTTAGTTAATAGTTCTTTTTTTTTTTAAAAAAAAAAATTTTTAGCACGTATAAATATAATGAATTTAACTTACCCGAATCCATTATTTTGTTATTAAACTTGTACATAGTTTATTGAAAGCGAAAATAAAAAAAAAGCAACCCATTTGATTGGTCAAATTTTATATGATTGCCAATGTTTTTTCGATTATATCACGAATGTTTAATGTTTTTCAATTTTATTTTTCTTTTGTGCCAACTAGTAAAACCTATTAAATCTATTGTAATTCCATCCCAATATCAATTGAAAATTTTTTTTTTATACTGGAACCATTTTAATAAGCTTTACATAAAGCCAATCATTAAATGACTCTTTAGTTATAATAAATCAATTAACATACCTCGGTATAAACTAATTTTTGATCTAGGTTATAGACAGAGTAATAAGTAGACAGAGCTATAATTCTACCAATGATTTTTTGTTTTACTATTGATAAAAATATATATATTATATTACTGCTAACGGTCAGTTCTGGTTTCAAAAACCACGGTTTTCAACTAAAGTAAAACCGACCGAAAAAACTGAGCTGCAAAACTGATTGTAAAAATATTGCAAACTGAATAAAACAATATTAAAAAGTATTAATTATAATTTCATTTTTAAATCTAAATAGTTTTTTTTATAATAATAATGCCGATTTTGTGATTTTTCGACGAAATGAAAATCACGTGATCAACGCGCAAAGTTAAATTTTACCGATAATTTCAAAAATGAGAATATTATACATAAATCATAATTTTTAATGGTACTCTCAATAAGAAAAATTCTTTTTTTTTTTGGAATATATTAAAATTTACAAGGTTTTTTTATCGTTTTTTTTTAACATAAAACCGACAGTCAACCGGTCGGACTTGGAGTCTTGGAACCAATAACCGAACCGGTAAAAACCGGTTATTGATCGATTATAAAATTTACTATGTATGGCTATGGTGACGTAGTTTTCAAAAAAAATTATCAGATATCATGGGTCCCCGTGGTTAGAATTACATAATACCGTCTGTACTTATCTCCCTGTAAAAAATCTGATCCGTGTTTTATCTTTCCATGCTTTTTCCGTGAATGTATCATTTTCATGGAATTAATAGCCTCAAATCATGGAAATTTTCATCTCGCTAACACGGATATCCGTGAATGTATCATTTTCACGGAATTTTTACGGAAGACACGGATAAATAATGGAAATATTCGGATAAAAATTTTTTATAGGGTCTGAAAAAAGAAAAAATGATTTTTCTTTTTTAAAAATGACCGACTTGAACAATGATGTTCTTAATTTAATATTCGAACAACTACAAGATGATAAAAATACATTTTATCCCTGTCTTTTGGTTAATAAAAATTGGTGTGTAATGATTATTCCAATTTTATGGAGAATCCTTGGAAATTCTTAAAAAGAGAATGAAGGATTATTATTAAATGTAATCATCTTATCAAGTATATCAAGGAATCAAATAAGGGAACATGAGTCATTGACAAATTCTTATCAAAGACCTTCATTTAATTATATTAGTTTCTGTAGACATTTAAATTTAAATGAAATACATAGAATAATTAATGAATTATATAATAAATCTTTCTTAACAGTTCTATAAAATGAAATATTAAGTCTTTTTATTAACGAAAATATGAAATTTACTCACCTTTATATGAATCAAAAATTCGACAAAATACACTCCATTCATGGAGCTGTAAGGCATTAAATTCCTTAGTTGTGGTTACTGATTTAAATAATAATATTTTATCTAAAATAATAGAAACATGTAAATCAATTAAGAAATTGGAGATTTTTATTAAAAAAAAAAGACATAATAATTGTGAAATTATTAAATTGATCGAAGCTCAAAAGAAATTACTTAGTATTACTAGCTTAGTTCCTTCGCACACAAATCATCCATTTTATAAAATTCTTGAAGATTCGTTGGTTAAACATGCAAATACCGTACAATATTTTAAGTTACCAGATCAACTCACCGCAAAAATTTTCTCATCTTTTGCATTGTAAATTTAAAAGGATTAAAATTAGTTAATGGTAATCTCAATCTGGAATGGAATTGTTTAAAAATTTATCTTTATCTTTCTTACAAATTTTAAGAACTAGCCTAGTTCCAGATTTAGCTTTTACAGATTTAATTGAAAATACAAATGGTTCTCTTATTCTGATTATTGGCAGATCTTGTTTCTTCAATAGACAGATTTATATTTTTTATTATCCCCCTTTTTCATTAGCAGATCTTTTTTCTTTACCAGACAGACTTATATTTTTTTATTATTACTGACAATCATTTTTATTTATTAGCAGATCTGCTAAATCTCACCGCAGGTGATTTCACCATAATTCGAATATATAGAAAGTAAGTAACGGAAATTGGTTAAGTAAGTAACGTAAAGTCACATGATCTATTACGTTACTTCTCTTATATAAGGTACGGAACGTAAATTTTTTTGGTATCCTGTTCTTCTTTCGGTAGTGGAGGGGGATCAGGCTGGTTCCAACGTCTTTAAAGAAGTTCGGGTCCGTCCTGGTGATGGATGATAGCTAGAAGTAGGATAACTCTCCCTTTCGAGGGAATATGTTCTGTTGAATAGTCTGTCTGGCTTCACATAAAATAAATAAATAAAAATAAATTTTTTTGGTAAATACTTTACGTTACTCTTATTGCTAGGGTCTTCGATCACGTGACGGATTTAATATTTTTGATTGGTCAAATTGGCCACATAATCACGTCATGTTTATTTGTTTATTGAATCTCGTTTTCAGTATAGGTTCGTTTCTCAGTTCTTTCGGTCTCAAGGTATTTTTCTTTTCTTTTATTTTCATTTCTAACTTACATTCTGCTTACACTTTATTTCTTACTAACTCTATTTCATCATTTTAGGTCCTTTATTCCTTCCAGTTCTGCAATTAAGGTTCAGTTGTTTTTTCACTTTACGTTTCGTTTCTTGCTCATTATTTTATTATTTTATTTATTTTGTTTCTGTTTGATATTTCGTTTTTCACTTTTATTTCATTTTTATCTTATATTTGGTTTCTTACTAACTTCATTTTTTTTTACTTTATGGTTTATTTTTTACTTGGTTTCCTATCATTACCCGACCTTTTATCATGATCGTTTTTTTATTTTTTGTCTCCCATCATTTTTCACCTCATATTACTTCTCATTATTCGTCTCCCATTATTTTCTATTACATCATTTCATTTTCCATTATTTCTTTTTCTCTCCTGTTTACTTCCCATCATTTCTTTTTATCTCTCATCGCTTCTTTTTGTCTCCCATCACTTCTATTCGTTTTCCATCACTCCTTTTTGTCTCCCATCACTCCTCTTCATCTTCCCATCACTTCTTTTCATCTCCCATCACTCTTTTTCATCATCCATCATATGTCCTATTTGTTCCCTATCACTTCTCATTACTCTTTTTTACTTCCTTTCTTCTTCTATTACTTTCCATTACCCCATTGTTATTTCATTTTTTTTATTAGCTTCTTTCTCCTTGATCATTGTAATTTCCTTATCTTTTTTATTTATTGTTATTGTTATTGTTTTTTTATTTGCATCACTTCATTAAAAATAAATACAGTGAAATTTTTCTTTAAAATCGAAAATGTGGAATTAAATTTTAATATTTGCAAATAAAATTTCATTAAATAAGATTATTTTGAATAAATATGTTTGTAAAAAAAATTTTAAAAAATATCTTCAAATAAAATTTTAAGTTTAACCGATCAACAGATGATGTTTAGTACCTTATATAAGAGGAGTAACATAAAGTAAATATAATTGACTTTACGTTCCGTGCCTTATATATATAAGGGGAGTAACGTAAATTGACCTAAAATAGTAATTTTACGTTACTTACTTAGCCAATTTCCATTACTTACCTGCTACCTACCGTTATAATTCCAGCCAAATTCAATTGTGTAACCTAATAAAAGTTTTTGGCTTTTTTTAGTTACAATGTGGTATAAATATTGCACCAATGGATCCGGAAGATACCCATTTATAAGTGAATATGCAGTTAAATTTTGTGTCACCTCACTGCATAAATCACTTTACTTAAGAAATCTATTTCGTAATGGTCAAAAGTGGTCTATTTGGCCTTAAAAGTGGTCAAACTTGCCTATCAGCTACCTTAATTGATGGTCAAAAGTGGTCTATTTGACCCTTTGACCATCAATTAAGGCAACTGATGGTAATTTGACCACTTTAACCATCAATAAGGTAGCTGATGGTTAAGTTTGACCACTTTTAAGGTCAAATAGACCACTTTTGACCATGATTAATTACTAAGTAAAAGAGATTTATGCAGTGAGGCTACATAAAATTTAACTGCATATTTGATATAAACGGGCATCTTCCGAATTCATTGGTACAATTTTCATACTACACTGTTACTAAAAAGTCAAAAAACTTTTTTATTAGGTTACACAATTAACTCCAGCTAGAATTATAATTTGGCCGGAATAAAATCACCTGCGGTAAGGATCACCTGTGGTGAAAACTTAGCGAATAAAAATGATTATCAGAGCTAATAATAAAAAAATACAAATCTGTCTATTAAAGAAAAAAGAACTGTAATTTTAAAATTACAAGAGTTGGTAATATTTAAATTAAATAAATACAAATCTTTCTAATAATATAAAAGGAATTGCCATTTTAGGAAAAATCAGTAATTTAAAAATACAAGAGTCAGTATTATTTAAATAGTAGGAGTTGGTAATAACAAAATACCAATCTGTCCACATCAGCACGCCATAAAATCATAAATAAAAAAATAATAATAAATCTCATAATTTCAACATTAGCTACAATTGATTTTAAACAAGAGGAGATTATTTTTAGGGAATTGGAATTTGAAGAAAAGAATTAAAACTTATTAAGTGAATTAGAGTTTACAGAATGGTTATGCATGATAATACATACTACTAGTATAGGCTTAAATGCAATAATGTGATAGATACTTTAAAATTGACCTGACAAATTGATTTCTTTGTAACTAATAAAATGGCCACATTTTTAAGAGAAATAAATGATATATAGGTTAGAGGTCTGACCCCCTATTTTACAATCCAGCCCGGCTCACACTTGGAAATTAACATAAAGTGCCCGGCCCGGCCCAGACTTAATATATTAAAAACTGGAGCCACACTATTATTGTATCATTTTGTTGTAAAAAACAAAAAAATCGGCCAACTTAATTTTGGCCAGTTTAATTTCGGCCAGAATTAAGACGATTTTGGCCAGAATTACGAAAATCCAGATTTAACGAAAAATCATGTGCCGGCCCGGACCTGGCCCGGGTGAATTTTGACAACCCAAACCTGGATCCGGGTCTGGACCAGGTTAGGGTTTCTGGGTTCTGAGTCCCGTTTGCAGATCTCTAATATAGGTGTATATATGCACATATGCATAAAATTTTTATTGGCCTGTGAACCAATAACAATAGTGATTATAGTGATTATCCAGACTTTTATAGATTTTGGCTCCTTTGGTATGGAATTCTACTTCTTAAAATATTGAGTATGGTTAATTATACTATATAATATGACATGATATTCAGTTTTCTGAGTATTCAAAAAATTTTATAGTTCATGTATTATAAAATTAATTACTTGTAAAAGTATCAGGTAAAAGCTGTATTTCTTTTAATTCACTTTTTATTGCCTAGCCAAGTGTTATAATATTAAAGCCTTTTAATTCAAATATATTGTAAATAAAATAAACTTGGATAATTTATATTTAATAATTGATAAGTTACAAAAAAAAGATTTATTTAAATTACAAACTAAGAAATTTATAAAATATTTACTACTCTAGTTCTAGTGTTTAAATAATTCTAAGTAAAATAAAAAAAAAAGAGAATGTAAATATTTAATATTTGGATAAGCTATAGAAAAAAGGAATTACTTAAATTGCAAACTAGGAAACTTGTAAATATTTTACTACTCTAGCCTTAGTGTTTAAATAAATCTGCAAAAAATAAAATAAAAGATAACTCTTCTGTTGAACACATCATGTCAAATATCATTTAATTTCATCTGTTTTTAATATATAAATAAAATTAGTTTCACATAATTAATTAGCAAATTAGTTTTTCTTTATAAACTATATATTACATACCTAATTGTTAATAACTTTAAATTATACAATCATTCAAATCTTCAGTTATGCCGGTAGAAGAATAACTTCCACTTTCAAGAATTTCATTCAATTTTTCACTAGTAAAATTAAGTAGACGACTTGTATAACATGCTTGTGGATGAGGTTCAGCAGTATTAAGATTGTTATGCCCAATTTGTGCATTTATAAATTCCATTTTGTTATTTTCTAATTCTTCATTAATTTCATTACTAGTAGGCTGGAAAATCCAATTTCCAATAACATATTTCACTTCTGATACAGATGGCCTTTTTAATGGATCTTCATTCCAACATTTTTTCATTAACTCCATATAACATTTTGGAGTATTTTCAATAATTTTAGGACGTTCGCCTTTACAAATACTTAAACTAAGCTGAAGATCATGTGTTCTATCATTAAATGGTGGAACTCCAGATGTAAATTCCCACATAATCATAGAAAAACTATAAATATCACTAGCTGGAGTATAAGGTTTGCCTCTTAAAACTTCAGGTGCCATAAATGGTATAACTCCATAAATTTCACCTTTTTTTAAAGATGATTTTACAGGTTGACATAATCCTAAATCACTAATAAAAACTAAATTATTATCAACTTCATTTTCTTCCTCCTCTTCATCCTTTTTATTGCTGTGATTTAAAATATTGCCATCATGTAAATCACAATGAATAAAATCTTGTTTATGTATTTCATAAAGCCCAGAAATAATTTTATACAACATATTTAACTTTTGTTTCCAATTATATTTAATTACTTTAGTTAAATTTCCTCTTAAATTACCTTTATTTGCATAATCCATTACTACCATATAATACGAAGTATCTGAACTTTTTGTGAATCCATATAAATTAATAATTTCATATGAATCTGAACAACTTTGATGATATTTCCACTATAAAAATGAAATAAGAAATGTACAATTAGTACAAGTAAAAATCAAATTAAAAAAATTAATATTGGTTATCATACTTCATTTAAAAATTCATCTAAATTTTCATTCAAATTATTGAAGCATTTAAGAACTACTTCTCTATTTTGATTTATATCTAACCAAATAGCTTTATATACAGTACTAATCCCTCCTTTATCAAGGTATACAACATTTGTAAATTTATCATAAGGAATCCATTTTAATCTTCTTTCAGAAATAAATTTATCTAAAATTATATTTCCACTCTTTCCAAATCTATAATATAAATAATTAAAATTATAATAAAATTATCCTAAACTTTAGAATTAAAAAAACAATTTAATACTTACCCTAAATTTAATTAGAAATACAATAACAAAAAATCTTAGTAATTATATAAATATATATATAAACTTATAATTTATAACTCACCCGCTAAAGTATCAAATATATATTAAAAAAAGAAGTATTTAGTTAATTTAAGTCAAATTCTATATAGATGTAATAATAAAAAAACAACTTACAAGAATCTAAAGTAAATTACAATTTTTAAAATAAAGAATTTAGTTAGTTAGTTCAAGTTATATATAAAGTTATAAATATGTAATAATAAAACTAAATAAATAACTTACTATCTGAAATAAAACACCAAAATAAAGAATTTAGATACTAGTTAGTTTAATTTATATGCAAATATCATATAAAATAATAAAATTAAATAAATAATTTACCACCTATATTTTAAACAATTTTTTAAATAAAGAATTTAGTTAGTTTAAATCATAAAATTGCTATGAGATTTCGCCGGCGTCACATGATTTTTAATAATATAAAATTTGTCACCCCGCGTCACACCCTCCTTGTTTCCGCTTTTACTATGTATTCTAGGGACAGAATTTGCTAATTCCGGCCAAATTTTATAATTCCGGCCAAAATTAAAAAATCACGTGATACCGGCGATAAATAGACTCCTTTAAATTATATGCAATAATGTAATAATAGAATTAAAAAATAACTTACGTGCTATATTATGAAATAATTTTTTTAATGAAGAATTTAGTTAGTTAAATTATTATGCGATTATGTAATAATAGAATTAAAAAAATATCTTATAACTTACGAACTAAACGAAATAAATGAAATTACAAAATAATTTTTTAAATAAAGAATTTAGATAGTTTAATGATGCAATAATAGAATATAATTAAATAACTTACTCCCTATATTACAAAATTATTTTTTAAATAAAGAATTTAGTTAGTTTAAATTATGTGCAAATATTATACA